TTTTTTTTTTGCGGTACGCGGGCCTCTCACTGTTGTGGCCTCTCCCGTTGCGGAGCACAGGCTCCGGACGCGCAGGCTCAGCGGCCATGGCTCACGGGCACAGCTGCTCCGCGGCACGTGGGATCCTCCCGGACCGGGGCACGAACCCGTGTCCCCTGCACCGGCGGCGGACTCCCAACCACTGCGCCACCAGGGAAGCCCAGACCTGTATTGTTGACGTTCTCTCAGGCGCATCCCTGGCCCCCAGCACACAGCACATGCTCAGTGACAGTGGCCAAGTGAATTCTTACGACTGGCTGACCCACAGCACCAGCCCTGGTCAGCAGGGCCTGACCCTGACCACACCTTGGGGCTTTCTGTCTTTTCAATCTTCCATTCCTCCTGCCAGACTTGTTATGAGGACCCCCTCCCAAACCTGGCTGTTCCCACCCTGCTGCCTGCCCCCCCCCCCACCTCTGGGGACACTGCAGGGAATGGGACATGGGTCTGCCCCCGTGCTCCATGGCTCTCATGGGGAATCTTGAAGACACCCTCTCCCTCCCTCGTGAGTACATCGTTACACTAAGAATGCTTTAGAGGCATCCCAGGCACATGGCGCTGGGCACACAGGTGGTGCTTAGTCCCTGTCTGAGGCGAGGGACACTGCTCATTCTTCAGGCCTGTCTAGGATGCCTGTGCAAGGCCCTGGTGCTCTTTTAGTGCACAGGGGTTGTGTGAGGCAGGGCAGAGAGAGCAGAGGGCGAGGAAGGTGACAGGAGGGAACAGCGAAGACAGACACCATCGCCCTGCCCACTTCTGCCCAGGCCAGCTCTGGGAACCTGTGGGCAAGCGAGAGAGGGCAGCGCCCCATCTTCCTGCACAACCCCTCGAGGGGTCAAGCTCTTCCGAGGGGAGGGCTGTCCCTGAGAAATGCTCCATCCAGAGGGACTTGGATTTTGGAAAGAATACAGCCTCAACTTAGCCAAACTAGCAAATTTAATCCAGTTGTGGAAGAAATAATTTCGCTATGACAAGATCTGATCTATAAACAACACAGAATGGCGCCAAATGCAAATCAAAGACTTGGGAACGAGAAAAGATATTCGGGCAAAACGTGAGACTTCTGCGTTCCTTTCCTAGATTCTGGTGTCTGTTTCAGAGACGCGGTAAAAGATGCTTGTTCAGGTCTCTTGCCTCTTCTACTCTGTGCTTCGTGGCCTGTCCCCACTATCCACAAATAAACACACACCAGGAAGAAACACAAGCTGAACTGTGAAAAAACAAGCATTTCCAGAGGGTTTTTCTGGCCTAAAGAGCCCCAAGAGGGACTCCTGGGTGAGTCTGGAGCTCTCCTGGGGGAGGGGCACCCTCCAGGCATGACGGACACCCTGGCCTGAAGCAGCCCTTCCGTCCAGAGCCCTTGGCTGTCCCTTCCTGCTGTCCCTCCTCAGAGGAGGCCTGGGAGGGGCAGGTCAGGGGCCCCCGAGGGCCCCAAATTCAGGACGAGTGGCACACTGGGCTCCCAACTTTCTAGACCCAAACTGGAAAATGATCAATTTCTAATTACCCCATGGCATCAGGAACTATAATCCAGTACTAATTAATAAAAGGCCTTGGAATATGTGTTTGATATTTTGGGGGGCGGGGTGGGGGGAATCACTCTTCCTTCCCTAATGAAGCTTCACTGAGGCTGACGATCAAACCCAGTTTGTGTTCCATGAGCACGAGTCAGTGATGACTGACAGTGCAGCTCTAAGTGCACAGTGGGGCTGCTGTGGACACAAGCCGGTAGCTTTTGTGGTTTCTCTCCATGTACACAGAGGCCAAAAGCGAGGAAGGCTTGGAAACTCATTCTAGAAACCTGGAAAACTTGCTTAGTAAATAATGTTTGATTTGGCTAATCTGTTGGAAATATTCTACATGAGCGTAACCCATAAATAATCAAGACTCGGAGGCAGCTTCTACCATTGACACACACAGGTTCTGATGTCAGACGCCTGGGTTTGAGTCCTGACCAGGCAACATTTACCAGCTGTGTGACCTTGAGCACGTTATTTAACCTCTCTGTGCCTTGGTTTCCTCTTCCATATCAGGGGATATGATAGTACCGACCTCACAGGTACAGAGTGAGGTTTTAAAAGTTAATCCACGTAAAGCACTTAAAACAGAGCCTAACACTATTCAGTAAATGTCAGCCATGGCCATTATTAATATGACTGCTGTCTTATCATCACCACAATCTCCACTGCTTCAGCCCACACGGATCTCTCCCTCTGAACTATTTTAGCATTTCTATTCTGCGCAACTCAGCTCTTAGCACTTATTTCTACAGGCTTTCTAATTGCTTCCTACCTTGTGTCCTGCTCCCTCATGACAGCTCCCTGCTCATCGCGGATGTTCAACATCATCTAATAATTCATGGGGGTCACATGACTCAGTGTCCCTGTTTTGATCCTGAGGGGATTTTCCCCAAACTTGACAGAAATTCAGTAGAAAGTTATGCCAAGCATAACACAAGCCAGATCTTTATTTCGTTAAGGCCACGTCTCCGCAGCACAGAGCGGAGTGCTGACCTGGCTGGCGGTCATTGCCGTGGCCAGGTCACTGCTGCCCGAGGCCTGCGCTAACACACTAGGGTGTGTGCTTCCCCAGGTCTGTTATAGGGCATCGTGCCATTTGAATCTTACCTTGGAGAAATGGGCCCACACAGGGCAACACAGCAGTTTGTAAAGATATTTCCGTAGCTGTAGGGGTTGTAATTTTCTTTACCTCTTTTATTTGACCAAGATCCTTTAATCTGAAAGAAAAGGATAGTCAATGACACAGTATCCATCACACCAATGTCACAGTTCGGGCCGATCAGAAGAAGCCTGTAAAGAATGCAATGATCTTTACTCATTTCTTCAGCAGAAGAAACTGAGGTACTTTTCTCAAGGAAAACTGGCATTAACCCCAAACTTGGAAATATCCCCAAACAGCAGGTGAGACTGGGGAGAAACAACATTCTCTGGGGAAAATAATCTCTTATTTCTACCACATGGTACTTAAAAGGCAGCTCACATAAGCCAGTGGAAATTTTTTGATGCTACATTCAGTGTGTTAAATAGTAATGAAATGAATGGTAGCAGAGAGGAGTAACACACCTCCCCTAATGGTCCATTTTTTTAAAAAAGATTTTTTGATGTGGACTATTTTTTTTTTAGTCTTTATTGAGTTTGTTACAGTATTGCTTCTGTTTTATATTTTGGTTTTTTTTTGGCCACGAGGCATGTGGGATCTTAGCTTCTCAACCAGGGACTGAACATGCACCCCTTGCATTGGAAGGTGAAGTCTTACCTATTGGACTGCCAGGGAAGTCCTTAATTGCCCATTTATAGCCTGAATTCAGCCTCATCATATTGCAGAATAATTCTGCAGGATGTTTCTAGTGTTCTCAGTTACCATATACAAATAACTGTCTTAATATTCTCGGAACTCATCTATCTCATCAGCACTGATTTTTCTCAAGCCTCTGAGGCAACCTAATTCTGAGACATTTAATTCATGTACTGACAGAGGCTTCTGTCAGAATCCAAATATTCAGAGCAAAAAGGACCAGGCTCACGAAGAAACATTTTCCAGCATTACGTTTTCTGGTTTTATATTTCCTCTCCATCTGTATTAAGTACAGGCAGATAATCCTGGATAAAAAGTTAAACTTTGGGTCAGTGCGATTGCCTCCCAAAATGAAATGGAACCGTTATCTGAGAGAGGCCAGCCTGTGAGGTCTCTCTTCATCGGGGCAGGGTGACAAGTTGCTGATAGAATTATTGCAAAGGAATAGAACAGAATCCCTCCTTGGGCCTTGGAATTGGGGGTCACTCGGCCGATCTTAGTATCTAAGTGATGTGGTCAGAGAGCAGGACAGTTTGGAGATTCGCAATAGAGAAATTGGAGACTGATGTCGGAAAATGCTTCCCCTGCAGGCTCTTTGCTCCCAGGCGCTCCCAACTGGAAAGGGAGCCCAGGCCCCTCACCTCTTCTTTCTCTATTTCCCACGAAAGAACATGCCTGCGTCCCACCCCACCAGGAACTTACGTCTTCATTTGTGGTCTGGTTGGAGCTGATCAGGTACGTGTGGAAACCCGAGAGCCCCACGATGGACCAGACAGAGAAGAAGCAGACCACGGCCTCCAGCACGGTACCCGGAGTCAAGGAGGTGAACCAGTAGGACTGTGACGTTCTTAGGGCCCCAGGGAGCTGGATGACTGAGATTTGGACAGAAACCGCCCCCAGGCCCTCACTCAGGCCCTTGTGTCCACCTAGCCTGGCATCAGTGGTCTTGTAGCCACAGGAGACCCTCAGGGGCAGGCACGAGGCCACATTCTCCTTCACGGCACAGCGTTTGTGCTCAGTTAAGTGATCGGTGGGCTCCCTGAACACATCTCGTTCCTTTCTCATGGCTGACAGTTCCTCTGACTGTCCTTCCCACCTGACCTTGGCCCTTTCCTCGTGACTCACTGTGTAGCCAAAGGCGGCGGCAGCAAAACCAGGAAGCACGCTGGCTGGAGCTGGCAGCGGCCCAGGCTTTTGATGAATGGACCCAATACTGAACATCACTTCAATCACAGGCTCTACCTTTGGCTTCTGAAAGCTGGGACGGTAGCACTGACAGGTTTCCCTCTCGAGCTGATTTGAGGCTGTGACAGTCATTTGCAGGTCTGACCTCGGGCGGCTGAGACCAGGCAGGGTTTATCTTCTCAGCTTTCTCTCTCCCTGGATGGCCCGTCCACCCACTGGCTGCCTGCCCCCGCCGTGGATGGGCTTCTGACCCGGCGGGGCCATTTCTCAGTGTGGCATCAGGGTGAGCGGTATTTTTTCTTAGGGGACCTTTTCCCAGCCCCTCAGCCCACCCCCGACACATATGGCTGTCCTCAGCTATTGACAGGCAACTAGAAAACCTGGCTCCACACCAGACTGTGAGTGATAGGGAGTCTCGAGTTCCACAAGATGCACTAAAACCAAAGGAGAAAAAGCCTGGCATTCTTCAACAGACAAGATAAATCAGCCAGGAGTGTGGCAATTTGAAAAGACTAGAGAATATTCCTGTCCCACAAATACTTATAAAATTCTATTTACAAGATAAAGATGTTTCTCAGGAAAAAATAATTCATCATAGGTGTGGGAGTTTAAATATCCATCATGCATCCTCCATTGATAAATTACAGGCCAGAGAAAGTAAATACTCATGCTTTCCTAATGCTTCCGGGGATGGAAGCCATAGATCATGCTGTAATACATCACCACTGATTTTTTTTTCAGGACTGGGTATCATTTATCTTCAGAGCAGAGAAATGAATGTATCATCCGGTGCAGTGCCATCATCTGCCACATCATGATTAACAAATGCCACTGTCCGGCATGTGGGGCTGCATACAAAACAGGGGGAATGAATGCGCTTCCTGCTTGTTAACTGACTTTCAGCATCGGGATACACCACTGGGTCTGCTCTTGGAAAAGTGGAAAAATGCTTTATTTTTCTTTCTAAGGTTTAGATTTCTAGAAACTGCAAGGCCTCAGAAAAGCCCCGTCCAGAAATTCAAAGGACATCTCAAGGGGAGGACGCCCAGCTGGCCAAGGTGAAGACAGCGCAGAGCAGCGGGGTCTTGCGGATCCAACACAGGGTGCCCCTGGGGGGTGGGAGTGCTGCCCGGTCCTCACGGAGGAAAGAGGTGAACGGGCTGCAGGAAGAGCTGCACCTACCAAGAAAAGGAAGACTAAGGTGGATTCTGGAAAAGGGGATCAGTACGGAGGGGTGGGGAGGAGATGCAGAGAAGCAGGTCCCTCCCCAGGGCTGCCACCAGCCCTTCTTTTCTGCCAGGGTTACCCAGGGGGACAAACGGTTATGGCAGAGGCCTCGCTGCACATGGGGACACAGGGATGGTGGCCCAGGTAGCAAAGAGGATCTCATTCTCAACCGCCTCCTGACAGGTCGGGGCTCACAGACGCCCCCCCTCCCAGCCTCATCTCCCCACCCAAGAGGACACAGATGGGGGAGCAGCCACGTGGGAGCCCTGCCCGCACTGGCTTGAAAGCAGAGAAGTGGAGCCCAGGGAAAATGATGAGGAAGCAGTGGGAAGCCTGCGTCGGGAGAACTGCGTTGTATAAAGGGGGATGACACTGGCAGTGACTTTGCACAGGCTGGAAGGAAAAGACAAGAGGCAGAAAGGTCAAAGAGGAGGTGACAAATGGAATGGAAACAAGGGTGGAAAAGAGAGAATGAAGAACGAACCAAAAGATTTATTTACTGAATAATACACGAAGAGCCCAACTTCGGTCTCGGAAATACTTAGATGTCAACAACAGTTTACAATCCAGGCAGAATGACGGTCGTGTCAAAACATATGTAACATCCACACGTGTGAACCATGTGAAAGCTGGCATGTGAAAGTGGAGGAGGTCACAGCATCTAACGTGGCTACGTCTCCCTTTGCAGCTCCTGTTCCTTTTGCGGCTGCTGTTCCTTTTGTGATGCCACTTACATGATTACCTCCAAAAGGAGGCGTTGTTACCAGTGGATGTGGAGTTTTAAATGTTTATAGCAACCCCCCAAATACGCAGTGTTCTATATTAATATCTCATGTGCTTGGAAACATTTTATAAATAGCAGAATGCAGTTTCACTGTTAGCTCACAGCTGTGTCCAAATGAGGAATTCAAGGTAGGATGCAAGATGCAGCCCCCTCCGCCTCTCCCGTTACAGCTGCCACTTTGCCCACAGGACGTCTGAAGGAATAATCATCATCATTCATAACAATGGCTGGCATCACCGGCTGTGTGTCAGGTCCTGTTCCAAAGGCTTCATGTGTGATGAATTGGGAGATTGGGATTGACATATATACACTAACATGTATCAAATGGATAACTAGTAAGAACCCACTGTATAAAAAAATAAAATAAAATTCAAACAAAACAAAACAAGAGCTTCATGTGGATTAACTCACTTAATCCTCAGAGCAACCCAGTGAGAAGTGTGATTCCCACTTAACCGATAGGGAAACCGAGGCAGGAAGCAGTTAAGTAATTTGTTTAAGAAATAGCAGAGCAGGGATCTGAAGCTTGGAAGTCTGGCTCTGCCAGTAGGACAGAAAAGCCATGGGCCGATTCCTTTCTGAATTCTTGCTAAGGGACACGTGGCTCTAGGCTGACCCCAACCTCTGCTGGGGGAGATCGGGACCCTCCTTGTCAGGGTTTCTTGAACCTATGGCACCTTAAGGAGTCCATCCCCCTCAAATTCACTCTCAGACCGAGGTACGAATATATGAACAACACATCTTCTCACTGACCCGATAGCTCGATGTTGAAAATATCTATGCCACAGTAAGTTAAGAAACATAAATTTCTTTTTATTGTATCAAAACCCACTTACTGATTTTTTTTTTTTTTTTTTAAAGAGACATGAGTGGAAACAGGCCAACTCCAGTAGGAGCCAATTTAATAAGCAGCTGGATGTTTATTGCATCAGAGATGGGTTCCAAATCACAGACATTACCACTGCCAGCCTCCATCTGTCTCCTCCCCAGCCCCCCAGAAAGGAGCCCCCTCTGTGGCCAAGAGTATGGCTTTAGATTCCCTGCAGCCGCTAGCTCAAAATGCTGCACACTGAGGTACTCTCTAGATGACTATGGAATTGAAAAAGACTGAAAAATGCCGGCGGGCAGGTGCCCCTCCCTTGGGTTTCCACGCAATCCCAGAAGTGCTTGCTCTGTGCCTTTCTAGGCACCTGGCCCGGCACTCCGGACAGCAGACGGTGGGGGAAGGTAAGCTTCCCACCCTCAGGGAACAGGGGTCTGCTTGCCTGTGGGAAGGTAAGCAAGGGGAGACGACCTTGCAGAGACATGGAAATAGTATTGGGCAGAATGGTGAGGGCACCTCAGTATTTGGAGAATCGTAAAAGGTGAGAGGCATGGAACCAAAGGTTTTTAACCTTATTGGGTTCCTACGCTTTTCTCAGAAAAAATGCACATAAACACATTTTTTTCCTCATAATTTCAGGAAGCTTAAAAACGCCCCTGATGCCTCTGCGTGGATACACATGGACCCCAAGTTAAAATGTCCTGATTTATTCTAATCCCTTCATTTTAAAAATAGGTAAAATTTTATGTAAAATGAAGGGCTAAGGCCCAGAGTAGTCAAGCCACTTATAAAACCTCACATCGCACTTCGTGGCAGAATAGAACTGGAACTTGGTCTGCAGACTTCTAGGAGAGAAAGAACCCTTCCCAAGGCCCCAAGCTACGGAGTGTCACATGACAGGCCCTAACTTTGGAGCCTCAAAGCTCACAACAGCAAGGCTGAGACTGCCCGTGACATGCAACCTTGTTCATCGGTCCCACGGCCTTAGAGCCACCCCTGGGTGAAGAACTTGTCTCTGTTAATATGTCATCACCCATCTCCCCACATTCCAGCAATCAGGCTGGCGACAGGCTTTTTTGCCAAGTGCCAAATCCAGATAACAGTTTATTTTAAAAAGTCTGTATTTCATGTGGGTTTCCTCATTGACCAAAATCCCCGGATTCCAGAATGGCCAGGGAATGCCAAAGTCCAAGGCTCTGCCTCGGGAGCTTTCCACTCTGAGCACTGGGCGTATGTGGCCAGGGTGCTGGTCACACCGCATGGTGCTGAGGGGCCTTTCTCTGTGGGCACCAGCCAGGCACCCCTGGGTCCTCCTGCATCTTATTCTGCTTTAGGTCTCTGTCTGGGGTTCTGATGTTGAAAATATAAGAAACAGATGTTGTTGGTAATCATCTCTTTCTTTCTTTTTTTTCCCCCCTAAAAATTACAGTAAGATAGGCAATGCTCACTTACAGAAAGAGCTTTGATGGAAGGGCAGATCTCAGTGACAGACCCTTTGTCCTCTAGATTGAGGGTCTAAATCAGCATTTAGTGCTTTTAGATATTTAGGTTCAGGAACTTGTCAGTATATTTTCCTCATCAATTAGATGACCCTATAATCCTTAGACGGAGATAAGAAACTACAGCTTGTGCCCCTGTCATTAGAGGGCCCACCACTGTGTCTGGGGTGGAGGCTGCTGACTTCCCGATGATTTACACAACAGACACTTTGAAAATCAAGTTACTGGGACCTTTCAGACTGGATCATGGGACCATCATCCTTCAGTCTCTCAAATCCTTTCTCCTA